GGGGATCCCTATACTATTGCCATTCAAAGCCGATGATGACCTACTTATCTACTTTGAAAATGTGCAAAACTTAATTGAAAAAATATGAAATGAATAAAAGTATAGTAAAATGGTTTGAATATAAGATAGATCTACCAAAAAACCTAAATAGCCTTCCTACTCAATAATATAGTAATCAGAAGATGAAATGAGAAAAAAGGATAAATTTCTAAAAGCAATAAAAATTACATACAAAAAAACAATCTTGGAATTCATCTAAAAGGATGCATAAGACATACAACCTATACTAGCATAGGATAGACACACAGATCAATAGAACACAATAGAGAAATTAATAGAATCACACATATACAGTCAATTTTTGACAAAGGGGACAAGGGGATATAATGAAGGGAAAGAAGAATCTTTTCAACAAATGATGTTGAAACAGCCAGATATCTATATTGGGAAAAAAGTGAACCTTGACTCTTGTTTCATACAAAAATAAGCTTGAAATGAAGTTAAAGACTTACATATAAATGATAAAACTATAAAATGTCTAGAAGAAAGCACAGGAGAATATCTTGGTGAACTTGAGATAGACAAATACTTATTAGATTACTAAAAATGCTACCCCTAAAAGAAAAAACTTGATAACTTAAAAGTTTATCAGAATTTAAAAACTCTGATGGCACATGCCTGTATTCCCAGCAACTCTGTAGGCTGAAGCAGGAGGATCACAAGTTCAAGGCCAGCCTCATCAACTTCATGAGACTTGGTCTCAAATACAAAAATATAAAAGAGGCTGGGGATGTAGTTCAGTGGTGGAGCATTCCTGAGTCCAATCCCCAGTACCTCCCCTGCCACCAAATTAAAAACTTCTACTCTTCAAAGAAACAACATTAGGGAAATGAAAAGGCAGTCCACAGACTAAAAGAAAGTATTTGTAATATATAGATATATAGATATATATATATATCTAACAGAGATCTTACATCCAGTTGCACAAAGAACTCTTGATTCAATAATCAAACACATTGAAGAAAAAAAAAATCAGACATTCACAAAAGAATATACACAAATGAACAAAAAGCACATGAAAATGTGTTCAACATCATTAGTCATCAGAGAAGAACCTCACAGAGCCACAGGAATGGCTAAAATAAAATAAACTGACAATACCAAGTGCCGATGAGGGAATACAAAACGGTACAACCAGGCCAGGCATGGTGGCACATGCCTATAATCCCAGCGCCTTGAGAGGCGGATGCAGGAGTATGCCAAGTTCAAAGGCAGCCTCAGCAACTTAGTGAGGCCCTAAGCAACTTATCAAGACCCTGTCTTAAAATATAAAAAATTAAAAATGAAAGAAAAAGAGCTGGGGATGTAGCTCAATGGTTAAGCACCCCTAGGTTCAATCCCAAGTACCAAAAAAAAAAGGTATAACCTAGGGTTGGGCATGTAGCTCAATGGCAGAATATCTGATTAATATGTGTTGAGTCCCTGGGTTCAATCCCCAGAACCACCCAAAATCAAAAACAAACAATAAATCAAAAAACAACCAGTTTGGGAAAGTTGGGTAGTTTTTTTTTTTTTTTAATAAAGTTAAACTTACCACAAAACATGACAATTTTACTTTTAAGTATTGAGTAGAGTGAAATGGGAATTTATGCTGTATGCAAATGTTTATGTTGGCTTTACTCATTAACCATTGATAATGGATAATTGATAATTGATCATTGCAAATGGATAAGCTGTGGAATATTACTCAGAAATAAAAAAGAATGAATTAAGCTCGGTGCAGTGGCACATGCCTGTAATCCCAGTGGCTCAAGAAGCTGAGGCAGGAGGATTAAAAGTTCAAAGTCAGCCTCAGCAACTTAAGTGAGACCCTACCTCAAAATAAAAAAATTAAAAAGGGCTGGGGTGTGGCCCAGTGTTTAAGTGTCCCTGGGTTCAATGCTTGGTACCAAAAAAGAAAAAAAAAGAATAAATAATTGATCCACATAATAACATAGATGAATTTCAAATGTAATATGCTAGGTAAAAGAGACCAGACTCAAAAGCCTACAGAGTATATGAGTTTATTTATGGAACAGTCTGGAGAAGTCAAAAGCATACAGACAGAAAACAAATCAGTGCTTTCCAGGGGCTGAGAGTGATAAGAGTGGTTGACTACAAAGACACTCAATAGGACATTTGCTGAAGTGATAGAATTCTTCTTTATCTTCATATGATGGATATAACATGATATGATGATAGTTACATGACTATATGTATTTCTAGAACTGTACATTAAAAAGAGCAAAGTGTGGACTGGGGTTGTAGTTCAGTGGTAGAGCACTTGCCTAGCACCTGTAAGGCACTGAGTTCGATCCACAGCACCACATAAAAATAAATAAATAAAATAAAGTATTGTGTCCATCTACAACTTAAAAAACATAAACAACAGTGAAGTATAATAAATTATACTTCAGTTTTAAAAATGCAAAATAGATTCAGAATCTTTGAGGAACTGATTTTATGATAATTTTTCCCAAATATTTCAACTTCCCCCCACCTCACACAATGCCCCCCCCCAAATAAAGTTCCACAGATTAAAGACCTAGACATTTTACAACATTTAAAATGAACTTTTTCCCTCTCTCTTGAGGTAGAGAAGGACTTTCTCAGTGAGGCATAAAAACCAGTTCCCAAATTTTTATTGAAGTCAGAATCTCTATTTTTGGAACTGTTAACATTACAGAAACACATCCCCCCTCCCCATTTTTTAATTTAATGGTGCTGGGCCCAATAGTGTATTTGAAAGTGACTTGGCACTCTCTAAAATGGAAAAAAATGTATTTGCCAGTTTCATCTGAGTAGTGAAAGCACCAAGAACATTTGTCGTGATGAACCTTCTCTGAGTCCCCAGAATGACCACATCAGCCATGGAAAATCAACTTCTATGCTGGCTCTCCCTAACACCTGAGCAAACTCACTTGACCATTTCTTGAAGGCTGTTCGTGGTACCAAAAACATAGCGGCTTTCCTTTCCCTGCCAAACCCGCCAATGAAATTCCATTTCTCAGACTTTTTTTTCTCCTTCTGCTGAAGAAAATCATAGCCATAATTAGAGTTCCATTTTTTCTTTTCTTTTTTTCTAACATTTTTTTTCCAGAAAAATACACACACCTGGAATCTGTGGTTTTTTGGCAAGAATTATTCACAGACAAAACAAGGATGCTGGCCCTTCATTTCTTCAGTGTTTTTTTTCAGTAGTGAAATTTGCTTTATCCCCCTTTTAATGAAAGTCACCTTGCAAGGATGTGGGAACGATAAAAGCAAAAGGGAATCTGATCTGGGCTGGCAGGGTGCTGAGGCCCTGTAAAACAATACCTCTGAATAGCTACAAAATTTGGCCACTTTTTGTATTCCAGCTTTGCATTTGACCTGTACAAGTGGCCAAACCAAGCAATGTCCAACTCATCTTGGATTTTACCTAAGCAAAATTTTGAGACACTAGATAAAGCCTCCCCAAATCCTTCGGAAATAACATACCTTGTCTGTTATTTTACAAATTATCTGGCCATCAACCTTAATAGTATTGTCTACTAATGTGAAACTCTTAATGCACTATTAATTATTAATAAAGCAATAAATTCTGTCCTACCATGCATGACTGGGGCTACGCTCAGGAATCCTTATGATAGTCAAAGTTGAGAAAGATTAGAAAAACTGCAATATTTTGCTTAATAAAACTTTACTCGACATCACCCACCAGTTCCAAACCTGATTAAAGAAATGATCCTTTTCCCACTTATGGTGATCATGAGACAAGATCCGACATAAGTTGCGGGGCCCAACGCAAAACAAAAATGCAAAATCCCTTGTTCAAAAATCATTCAGAATTTCAGCATTAAACCAAGTGTAGGTTGTACCTCCATGAAGCCAACTCTGCTGTTAGATAAAGTACCGGCTAGAAAGCTGTAAGAAGAGTAAAGCATTTTGCTATTACATGAATAGCAATAGTTTAGTCGTTTTTAATGTGTGTGCTTGGGGATGCAGATGAGTTGTAACGTCTTAGGACCTCATCTTCAGATCTCCCACTTTTCCTTAAATTTTCAACTTGTTGGACAAAAAGTAGGTCTATATAGTATTGCCACATAAAGTAGTCTGCCACATAAAGTGTAGTCCGTGGGCAGCAACAGTAGCAGCATCTGGGAACTTGTTAGAATTGCAGACTCTGGGGCCCCACCCCAGACCTACTGAATCAGAACTTCATTTTAACCAGATCCCCAAGGGATTCATGTGCACAGTACAGGCTAGAAGTGTCACTGTCGAGGCAGCCACGTAAAACCTCTGTCTCTGATTTCATCAAGCTTTTGGGCAGCCGGGCAGCGCTTTTTCTCTCTCTCTCTCACTTTGTATATAGTTCCGGAGCCTCAGAATTCAAGTCCCTGACAATGCGCTCGCCCGAATCCACTAGCCTCTTCCCCTATGCTCACCCCCTGGCTCTGAGCCGCTGCTCCATCCTGCCGGCCCGGGGCCACCTGTTCTGGGCCCAGCCAGGTGGTGCTTCGCCCAGCAGTCCCGGGCCCGGGGCGCGCTAGCGCTCCTCCGGCACCACCGCACCCCACTGTCCCACACGGTAAACCGATTCCCCGGGATGCGCGTCTCGCAGAACGCCCGGGCGAGTAAAGCTCGTAACTCCGTTTCCCAGAGAGGCGGGAAGGATTTGAATCCGTTTAAAAGTTTGGAATACACGAGTCCCCCCTAAGAGAACGCGTCGCTGGAGCCCCCTTTCCCTCAGCGCGCAGTTTCCCACTGTGGGAGTGCCGGTCCCGGGGCTCTACGCTTTGCCACTGCCTTTCAGGACGGCCCGGGCCGGAGGCGGAGAGCCTCAGCCGGGCGAAGGGAGCGTTCGTCCCGTCGCCCTCCAGTCCACACGTTGCGACTGAGCCTCCCGTGCCTGTCGCCAGCTCTCGGGCCAGGTCTTAGAAGCGCTAGGGGACAGATCCATCTCGGCGCCGCACGCTTACCTGCAGGTCCCAGCGACGGGCTGGCCGCTGGCGCCCTCGGGCCCTCCTTTTCCCTTTTCCCTCGGGCCTCGTCCCTCCTCCTCCCTCCCGCGGGCAGGGCACCGCCCCCGCCGCTCCCGGACCGCTCGCGCGCCCGCCTGCTCTCCAGCTGCCCAACGCGGCGTGGCGCGTCCGGCGCTCGGCGGCTCCAAGGCTGGGCGCGGAGGCTGGACGCGGAGGTGGGGAGCGGGCGGGGCGCAGTGAGGAGGGTGTGAGCGAGCCGCGTAGCCGGCCAGAGCCCTGCAGGGAGCTTGGGGCTGAAGAGGTGGGAGGTAGCGGGGGCAACGAGCCCGGCTGCCCACCCCACTTTCGCCAGAACCTCCGCGGCGCTTCTGGACTCCGCGAACCAATAGTCCCTGGATGCTCGGCGTGGAGCCCGGCGCGCTTTCCCTCCGGGTCCCCAACTTTCACGGCTAGCGGCTCACCTTTAGGGGTCGCTCTGGTACCCAAAGGCCTGTCCCGCTACTTCCAGCGCCACGCGCTGTGATAAATGGGAGCCCCGAGGTCGCCCCTTTGCCAGGATATTCCTGAATGCAGAAACCAGACCCCTTAAGGTTTGGAGAGACCGATAAAAAAGAAACGTCCTGGGAAAGGATTCAACTCGTGGTTTCCTGGTGAAGGATATAATTCACTGGGTACCTAGAAACTAGGATCCTCAGCGCTCTGCCTTCTGGGGACAGCTAGAGGGGTGAGGTGACAGTTTATGAAGTTGATGGTTTCACCCTGTCATTATCTCCACCCTCTGCACTTTCATAGAATAAAAATTAGATCTGAACAGCACTTACAGATCACCTAAGCATCTTGTCAAAGTACTTTACAGATGGGAAACCCGAGGCTCGGTTCTACAATACAAATTCGTTATAGAGACCAGGTAAATACTATACACTCCGAATTCCCTCTCTGGCTCCTTTTGCTACTCTCCCCCCGTTATAGTCAAATAACACTTATATTTGAGAAATGCTTTATCACTTTAAGAACACTGTTCTCTTCCATTTCCGGTAGAGAGGAAGAGGGGAGGGGAGGGGAGGGGAGGGGGGATAGTAGAGGATAGGAAAGGTAGCAGAACACGACAGTCACTAGTATGGCAATATGTAAATCAATGGATGTGTAATTGATGTGATTCTGCAATCTGTATATGGGCTAAAAATGGGAGTTCATAACCCACTTGAAGCAAAGTGTGAAAGATGATATATCAAGAACTATGTAATGTTTTGAACAACCAACAATAAAAAAAAAAAAGAACACTGTTCTCTCGGTTAAACCCACAGAAGAATATACGGTTTATCTTTCTGATCTGAATTCCGAATTGAATTCACATCCCTGGAGATGTTTATAAAGGGGAAATCTGCAGAGCACCTCTTTGACTCTGCCATATTAGCCACATCAGAGGTGAGGTATATACTGAGCTTTGCAGGAGGGGTGGAATTTGTTTTGCAAACACCAATTTATTGACACAACATTCTAGCGGGATACATGAATGGACAGTGTTTTCAGAGAGACCTTTGGCTGGTTGGATTAAGGAAGAGTGGAGGTCAAGAAGCTCATCCAGATTACATAACAAGCTAGAAGTTATGACTAGAGGGAAAAGAGTGTATGAGTAACTTGATGTTACTCCAAAGGGTTAAATTGGTTCTGTTTAAATTAATTTATTTACATATGTTTGACTTTCTATAAAATAAACTTCATATTGAATAGAACCATCAGGACTCTCATAGACTGCTAGTGGGAGTGTAAATTGCTTATAACACTTAGAGTTCTTTAGCAGAATGTATTAAAGTTGGGAGTACAACTAACCCTATGGAGAGCAACTCCCCTTCTAGATCAAATAAGTGTGTCTGCTTACCAAAGGATATGAACTAGACTATTATACCAGTGCATCTGTAATAGCTCCAGATTGGAAACTGCCCAAATGCCCATTAACTGTAGCATGGATTAAAAGTGGTGGTGGTATAGTCACCAAATGGAATGTCAGATAGCAATGAGAACTTTTGAACCACTGCTACACTGAATTTAGATGGATTGCATAAACAACATGGAGTGAAACAAGTCAGAGATGTCCGTGCTTGGGATTCTGCTTCTATAAAGGATAAAACAGGCAAAACTAATCTGTGCTGTTAGAAGTCAGGAGAGTGATCACTGGTGAACTAAAGGAGAGTTAAAAGAGAGAATAAGAAGGGCTTACAGGGTGCCAGTAACAAACTTGATCTGGAGTCTGGTTACATGAATCTATTATATTTGTTCAAATTCATTGAGCTGCTCAACTATAATATTGTCCACTTTCTGGTATATATGTTTCACTTCAATTAAATGTTAAAACATGTATCTCATACCTCATATAAAAAGTTGCTTGAGGGCTGGGGATGTGGCTCAAGCGGTAGCACGCTCGCCTGGCATGCGTGCAGCCCGGGTTCGATCCTCAGCACCACATACAAACAAAGATGTTGTGTCCACCAAGAACTAAAAAATAAATATTAAAATTCTCTCTCTCTCTCTTTAAAAAAAAAAGTTGCTTGAATTTCTGAAATTCCAGACTATGTTTTTCCTTTAAACAACTTGCTTAAAAAAAAAGTACTTTAAAGAAATCTGTCTAAAAACCAAAAACCAGTTCTCACCATAAAATTAAAAGTTCTTATTTTGTTATACTTCCAGCGAAACTTTCGTTTTTGACAAACACTCTCAGATCAGTATCAGGACCTACAGAAAAGAGGCTGGGACCAAGTAGACCTGGCCCTCAGACTGAGGGCCTTCTGCCTTTCCAACAGGAAGCCCTGATCACCTGCCTGCCTCCTACACAGGTGACACGAAGGAAGATTGTGGGTGCTCAGGATTTGTGGTTAAATATTTATTCAAAGTCTGTGGTCTGATGTCTGGATAAATGGCAAGTAGGTGACTGGCCCTTATTCCACAGGGTCTTTGAGCTGATAACGGAGTTTGATCACCAGACATAGATTACTTAGCAAATATGGAAGAGACTGAGTAAGCAGGGCAGAAATCTTTGTCTCCTTGCTCCCTTCCATTGGCAGACCCTGTAGTGTGAGCTCTTAGCAAAGGAGATGGCAGAGGAAGACAGTTAAACCAGTGTTCAGGGCCCAATTCTCCTTAGATCTTTGAATGCACTTTACCTGTGGCCAAATAGTCTACAAATATACCACACAATGGTCTAAAACAGATTAATTATTTTCCAAGAGCAGGAGAGCGGGATGAGAACATGGGACTCAGGTGCAAGTCAAGACAGAGGGCTGATGAATAATAATAATAAGCAATCTTTACAAACTTTATAGTTCATTTCACTAAATCCTCATGGCAACTCACTAAGGATTGTATAATTGAGGAAACTAAAGCACGGGGAGGTTGAGTAGATTCTTCCAAGGTACACAGCTAGTAGTGGTAGAGCCAGGACTAGAATCGGTCAGAGTGTGACTCTCTAACCCCTGCTTTCTTAACATTTGCATAGGAAAGTAGACAAAGAATCAGGAAATGAGGGATTTTGTGTCCACCAGTTTTGCCACTAACTAATCGGCATTTTCACTTAGACAATTTGGGCTTTGGTTTCTCATTTGTAAAACACATAGCATCAAAACTCCAGTGGTAATGAATGCCAAGGCTTGGTTGGTTTGGGGTGATTTAATTTCCATCAATGCTCCCACATTCCAAATAAAAGCCATCTAATAAAAACTGCATACTATACAATGTAAACAAGAAAAGCTCCCTAGCTAACATGGCTCTAACTTCTCACATACTTGTAATTAAACTATCATGCATGCATCTCTCCTTTATAGACATTCTAGTGCAATACTTCTCAGAAATCTCTTCTGGCCTATGTCACTCATTCATTCATTCAAGAAAATTTATTTTATGTCTAAGGGATCAGTGAGGACAGCTTAGGTTATGCTGCAATAACAAACAGCCCTCAGTCTCAGTGATTAGCTGCTGGTGATGGTGCACACCTATAATCCCAGCTACTATGGAGGCGGAGGCATGAGTATCACAAGTTAAAGGCAACTTAGTGAGACCCTGTTTCAAAATAAAAAAAGAGCCGGGGACATAGCTCAGTTGGAAAGCATTTGCCTAACATGTGTAAGGCCCTGGTTTCAATCTTCAGTATTGGAGGAAAAAAGAAACTGAAAGAATCCCAGTGGTTAACACGACAAAGGTTCATGGGTTCCTCATAGTTAGAAGAGGAATTTTATGTATTGCAAGCACTCAGACTGGAGGAAAAAAGGGCTCTGAACCACAAGCATTTTCATGTTCCAACCTAGAAGTGATGTGTGACACTTTTCCTCCCAACTCATCACATGGAACTGTTCACATAATTGCACCCAGGTGCCAAGAGCCAGGAGATGCAGCCCTATGAAGACCCAGGAAGTGAAAAGCTGAAAACACTTGGTGAACAGTACCAATGACTATCACACCTGCTATGTGACAGACCCAGGGCAAAGGAGGATGAGCAACTGGTGGCCCCAGCCCCTCCAATCACTCACTCCCAATCAGACCAGAGCAGTTGCTGGTGATGTAATTCTCCCCGGTGGTGAAGGCTTTGGTGGATCTAGGTGAGAAACCAGTCTCTGCCAACTTAAGTGAAGTCACCATGTGATACAGCAACATTTTTCTCCAGAACATTGTGTTAGTTGTAATGGTGGTAAACGGATTGCATAACAGAGGAGATAAATAAATCACACACTCTCCTGGGAGGCAAGAAGGCCCTCTTTTGTGAAAATACTGAATGAAGACAGTTGGACATGTTGTCATTCTGTTCAATGAAAGTTACAAATGACAGTTTAATGAAAAATGAAGCCAGACTTTGGCTTCAGACAAGATGAGAATGGTGGGACCAACCCTTTCTGAGAATGTGTTCCAGTTTGGGAAGAGGTGAACATGATCCTGGGCCAACACAAATAACCCAAAAATTCAGAGGAAACTGAAGGCAACCCAGTCAATCTGCACGCTGAGGTTAGTTTATGAAACTCACCACCACCGTGCCTGGTAGTGAGCAATCCTAGGGCCTTGGGGTTGGGGATAGAGAGTTGGGGGAAGGGATGAGTCTTTGGGGATCTTTAGTAGTGAGAAAGGAGGCA